CATTCTGAAAAAGGGCAATAGTAAGTAGCAAATAACTTCTGTCCTGTTGTCAATATAGTTGCGTGGATGTATCCATGATATCATCAAAATTGAGCTTTATTTGAAGGAGACTTTATTTTACATACTACTCTGTTCTGCATGTGAGAAAAGAAAGTTTAAAGATTCAGCTCATGGGTTGTTCTGTAACTCTCCATCTTGTTTCCAGGATACAAAATTAATCTCATTAGTTATTGTAGATTTTAAACCAACCTTAGTTTATACAATCTAGTTATCCAAGTTAACTATGGTCTAAGATTAACTAGAAATGTAAATATTAAGAATATCAATATGTTTTTAAATAGCTTTATATAATAATGCACCTGTAAAAGAAGAAGAATTGCTTTTAATGATTTTACAGTACAGAATTCGTACAAACATTGGTATAAATTAATATTGAAATAAGCTTCTAGTTTTGGAAATTTTTTTAAAAATTATTTATTGCAAAGAGAGAATTCTTTAAAGCTTTTAAAGAAATAGTTCATCCTTTGAGGTATTGGAGGGGGCGAGCCTTGTTTGCTGTGACAAAAAAAAAAAAAAAATCAAGAGTCCGGTAACACCTTTTCTGACTAACCAATTTTTATTTAAAGGCATATGCTTTCATGAATTGCAACTCACTTCATCAGATACATAAAATAACTAGATTGAGGTAGGGATGGTAGGGAGGGGGAAAGGAGTTGGTTATGCATTTGCAAGTTGTAATAGAGCTGGAAAAACTATATAGGCCTTATTACTGACATTAGTTTATGAACACTGAATGTTTAGTTATCTCAACAGGCCAAATAAAATAGTATCCTATATTTTCTCAATACTTCCAAAAATGTATTTCTAATTTTAATTGGCATGTCCAATTTAACACATTCCAGTTGTTTGTTGATATGATATTTGTAACCTGTCTTCCACAGATTATAAATACCGTATCAACAAACGTGTGTGTGTGTGTGTGTGTGTGTGTGTGTGTGTGTGTGTGTGTGTATGTGTTTTCTGAGGTTTTCGCGGGTGTTTGTATGTAGGTCTTTGGTTGTTCGGGTTTTCTCCCGCGTAAAATTGGAAGTGTCTTGGCGACGTTTCAACGAAGTCCCATTTGTCATCTTCAGGCTGGTGTTCTCAGCTTTGTGCTTCGAGGAGCTCCTCGAAGCACGAAGCTGAAAACACCAGCCTGAAGATGACGAATGGGACTTCGTTGAAACGTCGCCAAGACACTTCCAATTTTACGTGGGAGAAAACCCGAACAACCAAAGACATATATATATATATATGTATGTATGTATGTATGTATAAAACATATATACATATACATATATACATACATATTTCTCTGGAGAGAGACCATGACTGCATGACAAAAATTACATAGTGTTAATTAGAGAATTCTGAATATGTGTTTTATTAAGTACAATTTTAGACCGAGACTCCAAATAGTAAAGCTCTTGGAATAGAGTATATTAAGTATAAAGTGGGTAGGTTGCCTATAAAACTGTATAGCAATCTTGAAGAAAAAAATGTTGAAGTGTAGTTGCATTTTTGGATCTATTGCCCTTCTCTCTAAATGAAACCTGCTTTTTTTCTTGTCTTCGATGCGGAACTAGGAAAAGACAAAACATCTTTAAAGGTTTTAAGGTTGTAGTTCCAATCTTCTTGGGAGCTTGATTGTTAATTATGCTGAGTAATGCTAAATGGAAGTTGGAAATCCTGTAACATCTGGAAGGTACAGATATTTCAACTTAATTTATTTACTTAATGTATTTCCTTTCCCTCGTTGGATCCTTCATGGGAATTATCATGAGAATCAATAGCGTATCCTGATTGGCCACAGGAATGCAAGTGTCCTATAGTTTCTCCATGGGAAGATAGAAGTAATTTTTCAGATCGCTTAGGAATATAATATTTTTATACTTTCTTATTTTCATCCTGTACAATCGTCTTATAGATTAAGTTTTCTTTTTAATTGTCAAAGAGATACATTGGAATATATCCAAGTATTATATAGTTGACAGCAGAAAATGCTTGTATTAATACACATATTATGTACTTCAGTACTAATTAATCTCATGTTCTTAAAGCACTCCTCTTCAGCGAACTACAACAACAATTTGAGATTTGATGAAATCCTCCATAATTGATAAAGGATGTACCTGTGAGCCCGACTATAAAAATTATGCCGTGTGTTTTTTTATACAGCCCATCATTTCCTTAGTCATTTCATTCACTGTAACTTCGGAACGATCACTTCTATGATAAGGGTTGCTTGATTAAATTCATTTATGTTTCTTGGCTTACATACTGATTTCCATGTGTCTGAGTAAAACAAGCCGAGATAATGATATATTAAGAAACCAAACAAATGTGCTTAGCCGAATCATTTCTCAGGACCAAAAGATAGTCTTAAAACTCTTCAAACTAAACAATGCTTTGATATGGTCAATTTATACCTGTTTTATTTATAACAACATTAATGAATAGAGTACTCAAAGTAGCAAATGCTCAAATTATTGGAATATACTATAACAGATAAATACAGCAGAAACATAATATAATTAATAAATGCCACCAAAAGCTTACACTTTCAGGTATGAATTATATCCAAAATGTAAACTTTTGTAGCATTTATTGGCATCTGATCCTGATGTATTATATTGTGTAAAAGTGTAAGCTTTTTATGACATTTATTGGCTATCTGTATTATATTCGGCTTCTGATCCTGCTGACCAATCCTTACTTTAAACAGGTTATACCAATACATGCAGTCTCAGCTTATGATCAATTGAGCCCCAAATTTTTGTTTCTAAGTAAGATAGTTGTTAAGTAAGTTTTGCCCCATTTTACAACCTTTCTTGCCACAACTGTTAAGTGTATCTGCAATTTTCAAGTTAGTAATACGGTTATAAAGTGAATCTGGCTTCCCCATTGATTTTGCTTGTCAGAAGATCAATAAAAGTGATCACATGACCCCAGGACATTACAGCTGTCATAAATATGTGTCAGTTACCAAGTGTCCAAATTTTGATCACATGATCATGGGGCTGCTGAAACGGTCATTAAATGTGAAAAATGGTCATAAGTCACTTTTTTTCAGGGCTGTTGTAACTTTGAACGGTCAATAAATGAAAAGTTATAAGTAGTGTTTTCAATTTCAATACGCAGTTTTCTTGATGAAAACCCCTCAAAGGCTATTTAGAGAAATAATCCCTGAATTATTCCTGAATCTGCATGGTTTATAATTAACTGAATTAGATGAAGTGTTGGAAGGCTATGCAGTATTTGAATGGCTTTTTGTTGGTTTGTCCCCTTTGTTTAATTATTGTTGCAACATGCATATCTATTATTGTTGAGCTTTTCTGATTCAAGCACTCTGAATTTTCAAACATCAACTCTTATAATTACAGATAAAAGGTATGTGCCAAGCAACACAGAGAAGAACCCCGTACTTGTACATACACAGGAAAAGTATTTTCTTAGTTCCATAATAGTAGGAAACCCCCCTTCCCCTCCCCCCCCTCTCTCTCACACACACACACACGTTTAGCATAAACATGCAGGAAGACAAAAAATATTGGCCAATTCAAGCATTCATTCATTCAGTTTAATGTTTGAAAGACTGGGAGAAAGAGATACATCCTTACAGATTTTCTAAAAGTAGAAAGGATGGAAATCAAGCTCAGCTCTCAAAGGAGGACAGCCTCCACCATGTAAGTTAGATGAGTCTCAATAGAGGGTGTCCAAAGTCATTTAGGGTTCTATCAGTTATTTCCTTCATCTTACATTATACCTGGTAAACAGTTGGCAACTAGCAAGATTTACAGTATAGGCACTGTATGAGTCTTGTACCTAAATTTGGTTAATACTAGCTGTTGCATTTTATACCAAGTATAATTTCTAGACATTTTTCAAAAGCTCATTACAAAAGTCAAGATGGGATTTTAATAATCTAGTACAGCGGTTCTCAACCTATGGGTCGCGACCCCATTTGGGGTCGATCGACCATTTCTTGGGGGTCGCCAAACAAGGCGATCCGCCATTTTTCCCCCTTGGGGGGCGGCGCTGCGCATGCGCGCCACGCATGGGGGTGGCGCTGCGCATGCTCGCCGCGCATGGGGCGGCACTGCGCATGCCGCTGCACGTGGGGGTGCCGCCGCGCATGCGCGGCACGTTTGTGTGGCGGGGGTCGCCGTCACACAAACGTTGAGAAGCACTGATCTAGTATATAACTATCACCAGATCTGATGGTTTAGGAGCATCATAGTCATAATTGTGCACATTCAGCTGAGCTTTTTGCCAAAGCCACTACTTGCAACTAAACTATTAAAATGTACTTCTAGACCAGGGGTGTCAAACCGCTGGCCCACAGGCTGGATGCATCATAGTGAAACTGTACCCAACCCATTGCCGGCAATGGGAAAAAAGTTATGATACGTTGCAACACGTCACATGATGTTGTGAGTTTGACACTTTTTTTTAAAACACATTTTATTGTTTTTTTTAATTCTTAAAACAAAGTACTCAGGACACACCGTGGTGCTGGGGTAATCAAACAACCTAGAACAAAACATATATACATAATACAATCAATACATCAGGTATTCCCTCTCTTTTTCCCTCAAATAGGTCCTAGACAGCCAGAATTTAATCTAGAAAATTAGTCAATTGTTGAAAGCTCAAATTATTAATACTGTTAGAAGAAGTATATATTCAATACACAAGGGCAAGCTAATTTTGAAATTTTAATTTTGAAAATAACAAGAAAAGGTATGTAGCCCTGCCCAGAAAACTCAGGCTGTTACTTCTTGGTTTAAAATCTATATTATCAGTGGTAGCTGATTGATGGGGGAGGGGCTTTTCACCCCTTCATCTGTGATTGGTCTAAGTGCTACATGGTCATAAGGGTTTTATGAGCTAGAATAATACCACATTTCTATATATAGTATAAAGTAATCTTAATGGATCTGAACAATATTGCAGTGAGTATCGGTATTAATTACTGCTTAGGGCCCAGCTGAGGATGGGTTTATAATATTTGTTTGTATATTAACACTTTGAAATATGCAGAACAGGTTTCCATATGCTCCACACAATATCATAGTGTTTTAAACAACATTGTGTCTTCATGAGCAATTTAACATAAACCATTCTGCTTTCAGTATATTGTCTAGTATTGGATAAACTATTGTTAGATTCAAGGACTACTTCCCTAGTGCAATGAATTGCTGCTGCAAGTCTGCCAGTGTTCAAGGAAATTCACATCTTCTGCTCCATCTCGTAAAAGATCACGTGGGTCAATGTAAGCTTTTTAAATAATTGAGGAGTGGAGGGGTACGGAAAAGCAGTAGACTGAGAGGCAGTTCTCCAGAAGAAGTCACAAATGCTTTCCTGAGATTTTATAACAGAAGGATGTTGTATTCATAAGTTGCTAACATGAGTTGGAATGAGTTTTCATGCACCCATAATTTTTTTTCTTCCTACCTTTGTAGCTGCTGTAATACTTTGTCAACAGCCTATTGACTTTTAAGTAGTTAATAAAGTATAGAAACGAATGGCTATAATGTTAATTTAACACAATACTCAAATGTTCACTGAGATATGAATTTTATTTACTATCTTTAAACAATCTAGAATTCTAGTGATGTTTGGAAGCCCACATTCTTGATTTATGTTCTTTTATCTTACTGTGACTTTGAAAATATAAATCAATTCAAGTTACTGAGTTTACTCCAATGTAATCTTGAATGAGGGATTACTGTGTATCTATCATAGAGGAAGTCATGCATGTTAGTATACTGCAGTTACTTTTTTTTTTTTTGATTATTCAATATCGAATCTCCAAAACCAATTCTAGCTGTAAGGTGAGACTATTGGTAAGGTCATTATTTCAAGCCCAGTTCATTATAAATAGGAGTAAGGTACAATTTTGAGTATTTATGATAGTTAAGAGTCTGAGAACTCAGTTGAGAGTCTAGAACTTGAATTTATGAAACAGCTAGTTCCATTTAGGGCCGAAGCAAAAACAAAAACTTCCAAGATTTCCTTCCTGCTGGAAATTTTTAAAAATAAATATGCTTTTATATGTGACAAACACAAAAATAAATTGAGGAGGTAACATTCTAAACCCTGCAATGTAATGTTTTTACCCACAGATATTGGGAGAAGTGCATACTCTCGTCTCTGCTTGCAAGAAAGTGACATTCTGTACCCTTCTAAAGGACGATACATCAAGGCTGACTGTGCAGCTAAATTGAATAGCAGTCGTACCATGGGATGTATAAAATCCAAAAGCCCCTTCCCGCACACTATTCTAGACGATGGAAGCAGGGAAGTCGGCAAATACGATAGTGGATGTAACATAGAAAAAGCCTCTCTTATTCAGGAAAACTCTGGGATGTCATCTTCAGCAAACGCCGCAGTGCTGGACTTTGCTCACCGTCTTTCCCTTGAGATTCTGGATCAAGCTGTGAAACAATGGGCAATGAATGAAAGCAAATACAGTGACATCCCGTTCATAGAAAGCGATGAGCCCTAATTGCAGGACTTGGCTTCCCAATATGCCTGTGAGGCATCCCATGTTTTGGTGCTAGCACAAATAAAACAACATTCATACGAGAGCAGTTGTGATTTTAAAAGTCATCATACACACAGCTAATCCTGACTGAGGTAAATTCTTGCCTGTAGTTGTAATAGAACCACGATGACATCAAATGGTTCTAGGGCTAGTATGTAATTCAATATTCCGGTAAATCCCATTTCAGTATCTACGGGAATATTAACAACGCAACAGAGCAAAGTATAAGTACCCTTAAAAGCAAAATCGGTCCTCCCCCAACCAAATAGCCATGAGGGGAGGGAATGTTTGGACCAGGATGTCAGAATAGGGTTTTAGCTATATAATTCCTATTGAGCTAAAATATCTTGGGGGGGGGGGAAGTAAAGAGAAATATTGGTGCTTAATTTCCCTGTTTACATAAAGGGGATTTAATTACTTAACATGAGTGTGAACTCTATCAGGGTGTTATGTGACTATCAAAGGTTTTTTTCCAAAGGCATCTCACATCTTGTTGAAGTGAGACTAGTTATTTTACAATTTTACTTGGCTGAGCATACTAAACTCAGTCCAAAGACCTGCACATGTAGGTTTTATCAAAGAACATACCAAAAAAGCATGTTTAATAGTTGGAAGAAAAAATAATTGAAATTACGATGACTTTGCAAGTTATTAGCAAAGTCTTTATGAAAGTGTACTAAAAACACTGGAGGAAGGGATTATTTCTCTTGATTATCAATTATCAAAGGGACAGTAGGGAGAATAGACAGGTTGAAAGCAAAAGTGCAATATAGAACAAGTGTAGCAGCTCGTATATATGGAGAAAGGTAACTACTGAAAATGTGGGAGTAATATATTAATTTAGTATTAAATTCAAAAAAAGCATAGCCTTTGTCCTCTTGGTTATTCAGGCAACATAATTAACTGTTAAAAAGGAAATCATAATACAGTAGTAGCCGAGAACTACTGTTCTTAAACTAAACTGTATATGAATTTCTCTAAATACACCATTCTTAGAATAACAGAGTATATTTTCAGTACAGAATTGAAAGGAGCAAGCCACTTTTATATCAAGGAGAAAGTTATCATTTTGTTTGGGTATAATTCATTTTAACAAAAAACTCACCCCTAATGGTTTGAAATTATGTATTTCAAATACTTTGTGGTGTAGTTGAGCAGAATATTTTGTAGCAATTCTTTTTTCAACAATATTTGATAAGCACATGCCAAATCGATAATTATTCTGGTAAGTAGTAGAAAGTAATTTGACCCTTAGAGACAGAACCCCTTCAGTTCTAATAAATGTACATACATATATATTCTACATAATATTTCATTAGTGGGCAAGGTCCAAACACAATTATACAGTGAATGTCAGACAGATTTCTTATTATATTTTGTAAAATCTATACTATAGTAAGTGTTATATAAATGTATAATCACAAACGATCTGATTATGATTATGCCATAAAGTCACTGTTGACTCTTAGCAATCACATAGATTTTATCCATGATGATCTGTCCTTACCAAATTAACAAGATACTTTAAAAAAAAATACTAACTAGACAAATAATAAAGATGCTAACTGAGCAATTTTACATGAGACAGACTGGTTTGCCATTAATCTCTTTGTTTCCCTCTTTCTGTTCTTGAAGAGATAAGAGCCAGCAGCTTCCACAGGATCTTCAAAATTTGGATCTCTTTACACAGGTTAAGTAGGCTAAATCCATTCTGTCCCTTATTCATTAAACCACAATAGCCATTTTTAAAATCATTATTTGCAGTTTGACTATCATTTAAGTAATGGTTTAAGGAACGAAACCACCACTATTTTTAACATATGCATTTTCCTTCTAATTAGTTAATTGCTTGAAGTTATGTTTGAATAAAGGAAAAAACCTTATGACTTTGTGCGTTTATCTGGAACTCAAATATACATGAGTACTAAAAAGTTTGGGCTCTTATATATTCATATAACAATTACTCAACTATGAAGTAAAATTGGCATGTTTAGACAACCATGTCCAATTGGGAATGAAAATTATAAGGTTTTATTTAGTTTTAGACCTTGGTAAACTTTTCAAAATTTGAGTGCCAATAAAATGCTAAATATACTACTAAAAATTCTCAAGAGTACCATTTAAATAGGTTGTTGGGTGGAATGTAGAAAACAAAATACTATCCATGCTAAGAAATATATGAATGGTCTGAGTAGAATGAAAAATGTCTGTATTTCTGTTTTCATTTTTTTCAAGAGTACAACACAATGTTTGGATTAATGAGTCATTTCCTTGTGCTTAAGCCAAAAAAGGCACTTTTTCTTTGAAGCTGAGAAATTGCTGCAAACAACAAGGCATAGCAAATTAGGCTTACAAAATAATTATCTTTTTACCTAATCGTTTCATTTTTACCCCCTTCCAAATGAAAATTGCTTCAGGAAGAAAGAATAAGAGTTCAGCTTTCTAAACAGTGTGAAGAAATGGATATGGGTGGTGAACATCCCAGCAAACAATAGAAACATTCACAGCAATTTTTGGGCGAGGATTGTACATGTATGACACTTCCCCTCTACTCACAGAGTTTAAGAAGAATTCCCCTCTATTTCTTAAAATCTTGATTTGAAAGGTGGCAGGTATTTATTACGACTGTATGATATTCTGTTGTGTCATTGTACTTTGTTACTTCTTCATTGTTACTGAACACATTTCAAAGATTTCCCAGTTTTTTCTATTTGTTTTTTTTTTTGAGAAAAATCTAAATTCCAATATTGTTACATCATTTATTGCCATGGAAACTTGTGGAAGAATGGTGATATTCATGAAAAGATTTATATGCAGTTGTGATATAATTTATTGACTAATCACCAGTTACCTAAAATACCAATAAAATATAGATTATGGTCTTGTAAAAAATAATCAGAACAGAAGAATATTAAAATTCTAATAAAATGTAATTCTTGAATAGGAGCCTGTAATGAAAGAATACAGACCTGTCTGGTCTATGTGCATCTTCAAGGGATTACATGCACAGTAGCAGGATAGTACTGCTTTTCCTTACAAAATATTTGCAGATCTTCATCTTTCATCAAGTAATGATTGTTGGTTCCCAAAATGTGCACTTTTTAGTCATAAGCATGAGTCCACATCTACCTCTACCATATAGTATTGAGTTAATTTTTGTTTTGCTGTAGCTGTATTTCACATTACAGTTATTTAGAGCAAAATCATTTTCTAGTTGAATACCCACCTTCCTGATTACAATTCTTTATCTTTCTAGGATTTCCTTGATAAAAAACCTAGAAGTAGAATATCTAAACCCATTTATTTGGATTTTGGGCTGAGATTCAGTAGAGATAGCACTGATTACACTTGTAGATGGCCTATATAAATGGCCTGTGGTAGAACCAGGATGGTGGTGTTAAATTCCCAAAAATCTAGTTCTTGCAAGCTGAACCAGCTCAAGCATTTCACTGGGAAGAACTATCTTCAATTCAATTCTACCAAGACCAAGTGCTGTCACAATCTGGATATTTCATCTTTAAGTTTAGATAGGGTAGCATTTTCCAATTGAAGAATAATATGCAATCTGGGAGTGTGGATTCATAGTTTTTGCTCAATGATTAGATAGCAACTTTGGCCAGAAGACCCTTTCTATCGCTTCACCTGGTGTACTGTTGTGTTATTTTCTAGACTGGGAAGCTGTTCACACAGTCACTCTAATCATCTGACAGCTAGATTACTGCAAAAAGTCTTATATGTGGTTGTCCTCAAAGACCTCTTGGAAGCTTAACTGGTCCAGAATCAGTGTGGACAGTGAATTGAACTGACTTTACTTCTGGGTACATTTCAAGGTGCTGTGTATGACCTATAAAAGTCCACCTGGTATAGATACTGGTTGTTTGAGGGATTGCCTGTTTCTTGTGGTGTTGGCCTACCTCTCCTGGTTCCTTCAATTAAGCAATGCTACTAGGATCTTGGAAGCGTGCCTTCTCTGCTACAGTGCCTATCCTTGAGAATGAGGCTCCCCCCGATCTTTGGGGGGCTTTCACTGTAATGGAATTCCAGAGGACTTTAAAGACCTGGTTCTTTTCTCAGGATCCGGCCTAGGATGACTGGACTGTTGCCTGATATATATATTTTATGCTGATCTGATTTGCCCTCTTGTTTAATATGGTATATTTTCTATTTTTTGATTATACTATTTGCTATTTTGTTTTCATGATGTAAATCATAGACAATTTGGAGTTGGAAGAGGTCTAACTCAAATTAAATACATATAAATTAGATGTTTTTCAGCCATATTAGGCCAATAGGTCTATGTAGATAATTCTGTATGTGGAGATTCATTCAGATTTCATTCAGGCCTTGTGAGACCCATAGGCCATTGTCCTCCATGCTGTTTTATAGCCAGAAAGTGGTTTTGCTCTGACTTTATACCCATTTCTTCCATTTTATTCTAGGGGAAAAAAATCTGTGGAAGTCCTGAATAAGACTAGTAGCAGAACGTACTGAAAGTATTTGAGAAGACTATATTTCCTTTAAAAAGGAATCAGTAACAGTTTTGAGTTATTTTAGATCATCTTTACTCTTAGAAGGGCAACTGAAAGCAATGTAGCTTTTGTTTTAGCTACGGTAGCTATACTGTTATCTTTTTTAGGGACAGTTTGTCTTGCCACAGTTAACACATATCCTTTTTACTTCTAGATTAATCTAATACAAATGCATTTTCTCTAATATGTAAAACCTAAGCTGATGAAAAATATAGTATCAAAATGTTGGGAGAGAAGCTTTGATTAAAGAAGCATTACTTGCCCCAGTTACCACATGCACATGGTCACAGATTTCATGTAGCAGGAGAATCCTTTCACATGCTAGTTTTATCTGTGAAGTTGAAGTGGTAGAACAGATATTTTTTATAGCTGTACCTGAACTACAGGGAGCAATTGCAGAAGTTTCTGAGTATCTACAGTCTGCAAGAAAAAAATACCATATCATTTTATATAAAAGAGAACTAAGATATATTGTATCAACACTCATTTTGGACTGCTGCTCAACTTTCCTTTGAATTACTGCAGCTCATTGTTGCCATATTTAACTGTCTAGATAACATAAATTGTTTTAGTTGATCCAGAGCAGACATGTCGTGCAACGTATCGGGAGTTTTGCCATTGCTGGCAATGGGGTGGGCGTGGCTTCCGTGTGATGCATCTGGTCTGCGGGCCGGCAGTTTGACACCTCTGATCCAAAGTGTCATTGTTTACATTCAGTTTTCACAAAAAAAATAAAAATGTATAGGTATCAAACTCTTGGTATCTAGAATTACGTTTTATCTCTGAAAAACCTATGTCCTCTTCAAAACTTCTCAATCAATTCCAATTCTTTTTTTACATGATAATTTTATTGAATTAAATTCATTATACATTTTACTGGGTTATGTAATATAGGATTTGATTTTACATTAGCAAAACTTTATTATAATTTGAGGTCATTACTTCCAAGAGACTTAAAGCACGAGTCCAAAAATTCATCTGTTACTTCTCCAAGAACAGCTGGTTTCCATTTGGGGGATTGGTCTTTGTCAATAAGTACTAGTAGAGAAAAAAATATTTTCAGTTGTAATGCTTTTCTTAATTATATTAGAAAGATCATTTTATATTATTCTTAGTATGTATGAAAGATAAACCACTGTAGAGATCAGTACATTATGTATGATTTATTCATTTTCTATAGAAGATGGAATTGATTTCTTGAATGGAAAAGTACCTTAATTCCCATATCCTGAAAACAGAATGACTGAGAATCCAACATTAAAGCTTTTATTTACTTAATTTTTTTTATGCAATCCCAGTGGAGGCATTTTATTATTTGTATTCCTAATCTAGTGAATTTCTGTCAGAAAGAGCAAGTAACAATAAATGATTTTTTAAGCTAAACACTGACAATATAAAATAAATCTCAGTGGTGGGTTAGTCTTTATATCTCCCCCATACTGCACGTCCTTACCACTAGTGGCTCCATGTTTGGACTGAAGGCTTTCCTTGTCCTCTATTCAGCTATGATGCGCTGAGATGTTTCAATGAACTCAAACTCCTCATACCCTGGAAGGCGCCCTGAGCCTTCTAAAATCCTCTCCATGGCTATGGAAGTTATGCTCACCAGTTATATGACAGTCTAAATCAGGGGTTCTCAAACGTGGCCACTTTAAGACTTGTGGACTTCAACTCCCAGAATTCCCCAGCCAGCCCACAAGTCTTAAAGTGGCCATGTTTGAGGACCCCTGGTCTAAATAATGCTTCTGTTTCATACCTTTTGTTATAGATTTTGCATTGGAAAACCACATGCCTGGAACAAACTTACACACTAGCACAACCACAACACAACATTATTTTTCTTAGAGCAGCTCAATTTTGCATATTGTTACCCATTTGGCTACCCAGCAAAATAGGCAGCAATACACTTGATGTCCTGAATAACCATTTAACTATTTTAGTAATTATTATTTTTACTATTTTATTTTTTATTACATTATTTTATTATCTTTCTACCATCATCGTTGTTATTTAACATTACTAAAACTGTCTCAAATGAAAAGAGCTCGCCAGACAATAACATCTTGCAAAGTATCCTGGAGAAATATTGTGACCAAAGAGCGTGTCTTAAACTGCTCCTGTCGCCACTAACATGTCTGAATGAACTAATCGTTTCTGAAGAATCTCACTAGATTCACATTGTAATTCACTTGAAATGGGCATGGGCTTCAAATTTTACCTGCTCGGACACCTTCGTAGAAGTCATGGCCTCGCTGTAAGATAAAAGAAGTCATTATGGCAAATTTCCTAGCATACTTTGAAATACAATTTTCTTTCTAAATGTTGAACCCAAAGCAGTTTTTCACAAGAAAAAT